GACAGATATATCCTAATTTTCTTTTCTTTTATTTCTTTCTTTCCTTTTTTTTTTAATTAACAATTACTTCATCAAGCAAAAACGGAAGTGACAGATATTTCTTTCTTTCCTATCATGTAATTAGAGTAAAAAGTACACATGTTATGACGTATACAATACACAAGTGATTCAGTATAATAGGAGGAAAAATATTGGAAAATATTACAAAATGATAAAATCATTTTGGCACGTTATGTTATAGCGAAACACCTCTTAGTATCATATATTTTTAATAATATTAAAACTTTATATTAACGTTTTTAAAAATATCTTCTTGGTATCTGAAGTTGATTTTTATGACATGTAATATTCAAATTACCCTTAATTAAATAGAAATCAATATTTTTTTTTAAAAAAATCTAAAATATTTTGAAACATTAAAATATTTATAAGTAAACAACAAAATAAAAAAGATCATGATTTTTTTCCAGATTTATTAGTTTTTAGTTAATTAAATTTAAGGTTGAGATTATTACGTCTCAAAAATCAGCTTTAAGTTACCAAGAAAATATTTTTAAAAACGTTGAGGTACTTCTTTAATGTTATGTTACAGCGAAACACCTCTTAGTATCATGTATTTTTAATAATATTAAAACTTTATATTAACGTTTTTAAAAATATCTTCTTGGTATCTGAAGTTAATTTTTATGACATGTAATATTCAAATTACCCTTAATTAAATAGAAATCAATATTTTTTTTTTAAAAAATCTAAAATATTTTGAAACATTAAAATATTTATAAGTAAACAACAAAATAAAAAAGATCATGATTTTTTTCCAGATTTATTAGTTTTTAGTTAATTAAATTTAAGGTTGAGATTATTACGTCTCAAAAATCAGCTTTAAGTTACCAAGAAAATATTTTTAAAAACGTTGAGGTACTTCTTTAATAATTAATATTATAAAAAACAGAAGATATCAAGAGATAACGCAGGGTATCAAGACGATTTTATCCCTATTACAAAACTATAACTTACTACAAAACAATTTAATGAATTAAAAATGCTACCATATTCGTAGTAATATAAAATTAAAAATAAATAATAGCTAGAGTACTAAAAAAACTCCTCTTGGACTGAGATTTGTGAACGATAAAAACTTGTGCTACAAATGATGAAAATGAACTTGAACTCTCATATGAACAGGGTTGTTGTTTCAAATATCATTATAAATTGCAATTCTTTGTCTTTCCTATAGCATCATATAATGATTTTGAGGATTCCACAAAACCTTATTTATATATATAAACATATATACCCATATGATACCATTCAAATTGGGTAAAACACAACTATATTCCAATCCAAACAATAGTGTACAAGAATGTCAAGTGGCAATCAAAACTCGATTTGATTCATAAACTAGGGCATGCATATCTATTTGTCTGTGCACACGTTAACTAACTCCACATATAGCAAAAAGTCATGCATCGAGAAATAATGTTTGTAAAGAGAAAAAAAGGAAATAATTTCTGTTATAACGAAAAGGAACAAAACCCTATTGTAGTTGATGTATAGCTCAGAAAGTTGGCCAGCTAATGATTCTAGAATTAGCTCTACAAGTTGATTGTGATTATTTTTGGCACTCACCCAACATAAGCACCACTTTTAACACAATCGAACATGATGAGATACATACACGTATGCATGGGGCGAATATTGATTCAATTATACGCAGTACAAAATGTTCTAAAGAATGACATTTTGTTTTGATTGGATGCCATATGCTATACATTTCAATCAATTTATCCACAAAATCATGTTGTTTGGCATCATTTTTGTTTTGAGACAGTAGAAGAAAAGAAATAAAAATTATGACTTTTCAGTTAATATTTGGACTCATATTTTTTGAAGTACGTACTTCTTTTTTATATTGAATGATATTTTCATCAGAATTTAATGAAACAAAAATGATGTTTAAATTTTTTAATGAGCAATAAAAGTATTTGAATAAAGTTTATGAGATTCTATCACAGCTTTGTTACAAGTTTTGAAGTTTTTTAAAAGAGTTTTTTTATAAGATAGATTATGTTTTTTTTTTATAAGAAGCTCTTGTGAAAAAAAGAAAATTATTCAAATATTTTCAATAGATTATGTTTTTTTTTTTTTTTATAAGAAGCTCTTGTGGAAAAAAAACATTATTCAAATATTTTCAGAAGTAACTACTACATATGACGTAATTCAATAGACTTATAGGGTCTGTTTAATAAAGTTTTCAAAATAATTTTATTTTCAATATAAAAATAAAAATGAGATTATTTTGAGAATCATTTAATAGACTTTTCTCATTATTTTTTATTTTTATTTTTAAAATATTTATTAAATAAATACAGTTTATAGACCGTTTTTATTTTCGTGTCTTAAAAATGTGTAAAATTATTTTTAAAAATAATAAAAAATCAATTCTAAACTCTACTATAGTTTCTTAAATTGGCTTCCCACCACGACTGATCTAGCAATGGCCACGAAGGCTGATTGGATGCTAAGAATTTGAGAACCCATGATAATGAAAAGAAAGTGTGAAAAGAAAACAAGAGAAAGAGAAGGGAAAAAAAAAAGAGTAATAATTAAGAATACGGTGCATCAATATCAGTGGGGCCCTTTGCTTATTAAAAGATAAACTAGCAATGGATTGCTTTGATTTCTTGTCTAATCATTCAACCATTGACGGCGGGATTATTAAGACAGAAAATTCTGTCCACTCGCCTTTTCCAAATCGATAATATTGTTAATTCCGGAAAGGCTTTCTTTCACAGCCTTTCCAACTAGATAATATATTAGCGTAATTTTGATTAATTCTAAACCTTGCTTCTCTTTTTTTTTTTTTTTTTACCATATTGCAAACAAAAACTTGCTTTAGGAAATTCCTCTCGTGTGTCTGTATAAACCGTTATTGTCTGAGAATCAGACTAAAAAACGGTTGCAACTGAATAAAATATTAGTTTCCTAAATATTGAGTTTACAAGGTAGTTTATTTACTAAAAAAAAAAAAAAAAAAAAAAAAAAAAAAAAAAAAAAAAAAGGGGAGACATGGACGCAATATTAAAATTCGTGGAAATGGGCCAGATAATGAATCAAATCGTGAATCTTTGGGGGTGGAGTAAACATAGTATTGGACAAAATTCTTTTTAGTATTATATTTTTGGAGGGGTCACTGCCAATTTGGAAGAGAAACGTAAAAGACATGTTTTTGATGGGGCACACGCAAGGCATGCAACAGTTGTGTGGAGTAAGCGAGTTGACTCGGGGTGCATGCAACAGTTGTGTGGAGTAAGCGAGTTGACTAGGGGTGTTCGAAGTGGTCGACAGTAACCACCATCACCATTACTACGACCACGATCGCGACCACGAATACGACTATGATCGCCACCACCGGCGGGTTTGCTTTCGCTTATTGGCTGATGTGTTTTGCCTCCGTCAAAATACCCTCCACCGTTGCTTTTCTTTCAGTTGTTGCATTCTTGTTGGTCCAAGATTACCCACGCGGACCCCATTTCACTACTTTTTTCTTAAATTGCTCCTTAGCTAAAAAGGGGGCCCAATGGTCCACTGTGGGCCCATCAACCGCCCAAAAAGAACGAACCGTAATTGCCCACAGCCTCCCCTCTCCCTCCCCACAACTTTTATCCATACTCTTTCATTTTTCTCTTCTTTTCACCTTTTCCCTTCCGTGCTTTCCTTTTCTTTTTAATCCCAACTTTTACCTCAAAATCTCTTTAGTCCTTGACCCACTTATCACTTGACTCGCCTGCCAACTGTAAAATACGTTAACAAAACAGTAAATGTACACTTGTCTAATTAGAAGCAACGGGCAACTTTTCTACATTAAAAAAAAAAAACAAAAACACCAAAACAAAACAATAACAGCGTAGTTTGCCACCGAAATCCGACGATTTTTCTTTAATGTCATTTAATTTCTCATTATCTGTGTTGGTTTTGATGTTCTACTATAATACACTCTAAAAAGACCCGAGTTAGAAGATATCCGATCATCTTTATAGAGACAAAAAAAAAAAAAATACAATATACTTTTTGGTGAATTAAATGAGATAAATGCTAAATTTACCTGATTGATGGCATAAATGTAAATATGACATCTTTTAAATGATTTTTTTTTAATTTCTTCTAAAATAGAATTGGCCAAGTAGGTGGCAATTCTAATTACATCTGGATGTAAATAATTAACTAAATTTAATTTAATTTTAGTAAAAAAAATATGAATAAAACTTTTGTAAAATATTACTTAAATTCAGATAATAAAATACATATTACTATATTAGTAGATAAATTGTGACACAAAATTTGAATACCACAACCCCTTAAAGCGATAAAATTACAACACAGCGAACACAATCCAACTTTACGACCTTTTTTATTACGGTGGGGGAGGTCACTGGTCAGTCCACTGGGATTTTTAGTACGTTGTAGCTGAAGCCAGCAGCGCAATCTGGAAATCAACTGAATGGACGGTGAGGATCCGCTTAGCTCCTACCAAAAAGATCGCGAGCGATGACGTCAAGGGCGACGGCGACATCGACGCGCCGTAAATCGACGTGTCATGACGACGAAAGGAAAGAGAGACGGATTCTGGGGCCCACTTCCCATGTCAAGGTCCCCGAACACAGCGGGAGGAAAAGTGGAACACGTGGACGTCCATGAGATGGTGTTGTCATATCGAGAACGCGGGCCCCACTGCTGTATGGGCGCCACGTCATGCATGCCGCAGCTACTATACAGAGAGAGAAAGAGAGAAATAAAGAAAGAAAGGAGGAGAGAGAGTGTTAATAGGATTGGTAGTAGCAGGGTGGTCGTACACTACTATATATTGTTCTCAGCATTTTGAGTTTTTTCTTTTATTTAATTAATATTTTTTCTTTCTTTCTTTCTTTTATATTTACTTTCCTCTTTGTTCTTTAAAATTTTGTTCTGAAGGGAGAAAGTGGGACCCTTTTGTTTCATTTTCCATGGACTTTAGTTATCAGCTCCTTTCTTTGTCCTCCTCTTCCTCAGTTCCGCGATTGAGCTTTTTCATCTTTAAATACCTTCACTTCTAAACGCCCCCTCCCTCTCCTCTCTCTCTCTCTCTCTCTCTCTCTCTCTTAAAATACCGCTTTAGCAGAGCAAGTTGTGCTCTAGTTACCTGGGCCTCAAGTTGTGTGGGTCTTCTCTCTCTCACTCTCCGTGTTTCTATTTTTCTCTCTCTTTCTCTTGATTATATCGTCTCTTAGCTGATTTTTGTTTTTGGGTAATGTGAGTGCAGAGTTTTCCGGCGAGATTTGGCCGGAGAATGGCATATATGTGCGCGGACAGTGGCAATCTAATGGCAATTGCTCAGCAAGTCATCAAGCAGAAACAACAGCAAGAGCAACAGCAGCAGCAGAACCACCAAAACCAGCAGCTCACCGGTCTCAGCCCTTTCTCTCTCAGCCCATGGGCCGCCGCCACAACAACCACCACTCACCACACCATGTCCAACACCCCCAATTTGGCATACGGCCTAACGGGCCCGGGCTTCCATGACCCATTTCAAGTCGCCGGCGGTTCCGATACCGGCGAACCGGGTTTTCAGTTCCCTCACTTGGAGCAGCACTCCGCTGGGTTTAGATTCTCCGATTTCTGCGCCGGTCCGGGCGGCGAGTTCGACTCGGACGAGTGGATGGACAGCATAATAGGCGGCGGTGACTCAACGGATAGTTCCAATCTACCATCCGGTTGCGACGCGTGGCAGAGCAATGCGGATTTCGTCCTCTACGGTTCCGATCCGTTCGCCACCGCTTGTCCCAGTCGACTCAGCGTCCCTTGCTCCTCGCCGTCCGATCTCAACCGAGTCCTGTTCGCTGAAAGCCAGAAAAGCCCTAATCCTCTTCAGCAACAGGTATCTCCATGGATCCCGCCGCCGGCTCCTCCGTCTCCGCCAATGGCGGCAAAGGACACTAAATCGGCGAATCCACCGCCTCCACACAAGAGCGACGCCATCGCCGGAGTCTCCACCAGCTCGCCGGAAATCGAGTCGGCTCCGCCTATTCTTAAAGCCCTAATCGACTGCGCTCGGCTCACTGAGTCCGAGCCGGACCGCGCCGTAAAACAGCTGATTCGACTCAGTGAATCGGTGTCGGAGCAAGGGGATCCGATTGAGAGAGTCACTTTCCACTTCACGGAGGCTTTGTACAACAGAGTCTCTCTTCAATCGGAGAAGAAAAGCTTGGCCGTGTACGACGGCGTTTCGGAGGACTTCACGCTTCCTTACAAGGCTCTGAACGACGCTTGTCCGTACTCCAAGTTCGCTCATTTGACGGCGAACCAGGCAATACTCGAAGCCACTGAAAGAGCGAGCAAGATCCACATAGTTGACTTCGGTATCGTCCAGGGAATCCAATGGGCCGCGCTTTTGCAGGCTCTGGCAACTCGGCCCACCGGAAAGCCCAACAAGATCAGGATCTCCGGCATACCTGCTCTTGCTCTGGGTAGATCTCCGGCGGCGTCGCTGTTCGCGACGGGGAATCGCCTCTGCGAGTTCGCGAAGCTTCTGGAACTGAACTTCGAGTTCGAACCGGTCCTGATTCCGATCGGCGAGCTCAACGAGTCGAGTTTCCGAGTCGAAGAAGACGAGGTCTTGGCCGTGAACTTCATGCTTCAACTCTACAATCTCCTCGACGAGACTCCGATCGCCGTACAGACTGCTCTCCGATTGGCCAAATCGCTGAACCCAAAGATCATAACCCTAGGAGAGTACGAGGCGAGCTTGAACGAGTTAGGGTTCATGAAGCGCTTCAAGAACGCGTTGAGATACTACACGGCCGTCTTCGAGTCTCTGGAGCCAAATCTGAGCAGAGACTCGCCGGAGAGGCTCCAAGTTGAGAGGCTTTTGTTCGGCCGGCGAATCTCCGGCGTCGTGGGACCGGAGGAACCGGGAATAAAGAGAGAACGAATGGAAGGTAGAGAGCGATGGAAGATTTTGATGGAGAATTCGGATTTTCAGCCAGTGGGTTTGAGCCATTACGCGGTGAGCCAAGCGAAGATCCTTTTGTGGAACTACAATTACAGTTCTTTGTATTCTCTGGTTGAATCAGCACCTGGTTTTCTGTCCTTGGCGTGGAACGATGTCCCTCTTTTGACCGTTTCATCATGGCGTTGATGATGATGGGGTTGTTTTCTTTTTTATCATCAATTGGTAAAAAGTTGGTTTTCGCCAGGTCTTTTATCTCTGGTTTGGGAACCATTGCAAGTATTACTACCTTATACGCCATTAATGGTCTTGTTTGGTGCTACTCCTTTGTGGAAGTTACAGTAATTATTGGTTTCGATCTAGCACCAATTTGAAGCACCGAATTAGCAAAGTCTTTTGAAGCTTTTTTGGAAGGGCCAGAAGTTGCTTTTGTTGGTTTTTCAGTTCATCTCTACTCTAGTTTTCCAACGTTATAATGGTCTCATATATCTTTTTATTCTGCCTTTTCTTTTTAATTAGGGTTTTTCTTACAGGGTTTGAATCTCGAATATGACTAATTGTAGAAAAAGTAATTGAAAATCGAAGGGGGAAGGAAGGCAATTTTCCCTTTGGTGTTTGTAATTTGATTCTGTATGTAAATTTGGGTTGATTGGTTTAGTTTTGATATGAATTTAGCTTTTACCCTTCTTATTAGATTGAAAAGATTAACCATGATAAATTATTTCAGAGATGACTTGTTAATGTATTTGTATTTTTGAAGTTTGGTTGTCAATCTTCTCTTCTTGTAGCCATATTTATGCTGCTTCACATATTGCAGTGGACCATGGCCTGTGTATCTGCTATTTTTCTGAAACCTTTAAAACATCAGAAATCAGAAAATTTTATGACTTGCAGCAATGGATATCTGACATGAGAATTGTGTCATTATCCCCCAGGTTCTGTTATTAGTATTCAATGGAGCCCAATTATCTAATCTATACAAAGCTGTGATTTCTGTAATGGGTTTTTGATGAAGACCTTTATTCAGAATTAGCTTAGCTGTTTTAAGTAAATCTGCCACACCAATATCCCTTTCACTTGCCATTCAAGTTTCTACATTAAAAAAAAAAGGTGTGTTTGCATTTGGTCTCGCAATCCATTTCCTCAAAACCTATTATTAAGAAAATGACTTGAAACACTTTTGAGCATAGCACTCCTTGCCAATTGTTCTACCTTTCCTAAATATAATTGGAATTCTCTACTCTTGATCATGGCTTTTAATGCATGTCCTTTTCGCTGTGCAATCGAAGCCTCTTTCCCATTTGCTCAAAACTTTAAAAGAAGCCACTCATACTCTCACGTCTCTCTCTTTCTCTATTCTTTGTTCAATGTCTCTTGCATAACAGAGATAACTTGGAAAGAAAAACCCGGCCTGTTTCCCAAGTCTGCATGAATCAATGGGCCATGGTTAATGACAAACGGAGGAGTGGTCTGCATAATGCTCTGCTTATGGTCGGACTGATTGTGACCAGTCGGGGTCATTGTGGAAGGAACGTTGCAAGCATTTTAGAAATTTGATTTCGACAGGCAAAGGGTCACATACCAAACTAAGAATGCACTTTGTGGGGTTTGGTATGTGTCTTCAAATCCCGCTTGTCTGTGCACAATAGCTACTTCCTCAATGGCAAAATGGGACCCGCTCCCCGCCCCTAGGGGCCGGTCTTACTCCCAGTTTTCGCTCTCACCAATTCTTCAAAATGAAAAATGATTGCAATAGAATTTGCGTCAAAGTGAATTGTTGACGGTAAAATTTCGTCAACAGGATCACGCCGGGTCACCCCTTGATATTCCGTAGGTTTACCGGTCTAATACTCGTTATATACTGAAAATAATGCTTGTCAAGTGTTTGAATAAGCTTTGTGGTGAAAATAATATGAGTGTAATGCTTGAATGAAAGGGCACACACGAAATTTATAGTGGTTCGCCCTGTTAATTTAGAGCTACATCTACTGTGTTTTTGCATATATCATTCTCTAATTACATGTAGAGTGAGGAAGAGAGATGGAGAATCCGAGAGAGAGATATCCCTTTCATTCGGGGCCTTCTATAGCCCAGAGATTACTTCTTTGGTGGTTTTTCTTGGTAGGCCCATCCACTTAAGTGGCCTACTAGCCTATGAACCCAGACCCATAGCCTGTCACCACATTTTTCATTGTTCACACATCCAATTTGTCCCCTATTGCGGCTATGCACATCCCCCTTTAATCCTTCACCGTCCATTAAATGGTGGTTTATAGGCTTGTAATTGATGCCTGCATTACTGACATTCTTCAAACCCAGACGTAACTCCTTTGTCCACCCAGGGGCCTTTCTGGAGATGTGGACCCATGTTTATACAGTCGGCTTCTTATGAGGCCTCTCCTCCTTGGAAGGATCGGCCGTCTGGAGGCCTCTCTTCCTTGGAAAGGTCGGCCGTTTGGAGGCCTCTCCTCATTAGAGGCGTCGGCCGTTCGGATGCCCCTTAGGGCTCTTGGCAGGTTTAAGAACCTTCTTCATGAAGGCCTCTCCTCATTGGAAGGGTCGGCCTCATGGAGGCCTCTCCTCCTTGGAGAGGTCGGCCTCGTGGAGGCCTCTCCTCCTTGAAGGCGTCGGCCGTTCGGATGCCCCTTGGGGTTCTTGGCAGGTTTAAGAACCTTCTTCATGGATGCCTCTCCTCCTTCGAGGCGTCGGCCGTTCGGATGCCACTTGCGGCACTTGGCAGGTTTAAGAACCTTCTTCATGGAGGCATCTCCTCTTTAGAGGGGTCAGCCATTCGGATGCCCCTTAGAGCTCTTGGCAGATTTAATAATCTTCTTCATGGAGGCCTCTCCTCCTTAGAGGGGTCGGCCTCATGGATGCCCCTTGGGACTCTTGACAGGTTTAAGAACCTTCTTCATGGAGGGCTCTCCTCCTTGGAGGTGTCGGCCTCATGGATGCCCCTTGGGGCTCTTGGCAGGTTTAAGAACCTTCTTCATGGAGGCCTTTCCTCCTTAGAGGGGTCGGCCTCATGGATGCCCTATGGGGCTCTTGGTAGGTTTAAGAACCTTCTTCATGGAGGCCTCTCCTCCCTTGAGGGGTCGGCCTCATGGATGCCCCTTGGGGCTCTTGGAAGGTTTAAGAACCTGCTTCTTGGAGGCCTCTCCTCCTTGGAGGGGTCGGCCGTCTGGAGGCCTCTCTTCCTTGGAAGGGTCGGCCGTCTTGAGGCCTCTCCTCCTTGGAAGGGTCATCCGTCCAGAGGCCTCTCCTCCTTTTAAGGGTCGGCCGTCTCTGACGTGGTGGCGCATATTTTGCCACCCAACATCTGCCCCCCAGGTCGAGGCTTTCTTTTGGACTGCCTCGAGCTAGGTTGGGATTTTGCTTTAGCGCCTCTTTTTGCCTGCCAATTTATTTCCTACTATAATGAATCTTTGGTTGAATCCTCCTTGGAGGAGTTGGCTATTCGGTTTTCATGTTGCCTTTGCTTTTTGGCTTTTAGAGGGTTCGATGTTGAGGCGGGCTGTTTGTCTCCGCTTCGCCATTTCTTTCCATCTTGTTTCCCTGGGGTCGACCCTTGCTCTGAGTTTTTATTCTTATTGGATCGGTGGTCATGGTCGTTGGCGTCAACCTCCTCGGCGTTAATGTATCCTTGCGTTTGCGCTAGGAATTCTTTGTAACTTGACGGGGGCTTCCGGTTTAACTTTCTTTTGAAGGAGGTAATCTTCTTCATGCTAGATAATGCCCCCATCAAGGCCTCCCGGTCGGTTATGTCTGTCGTGGCGGCGACAGCTTCTCCATTCCTCGCAAGCCATTCTTTTAATGACTCGATCGGCTTTTGGTATATTGTCGTCAAATTCTGTTTTGGAGGGACATATATTTTTCACTCCTATGAATTGAAGGGAGAAAGCCTCCTTTAACTTGTCCCAACTCGAGATAGAGTTTGGTTTTAGCGTTCGGAACCATCTCCTAGCAGAATCCGTTAAATGGTTTCGGAAGGCTCGACACATGATTTCCTCGGCATATCCATGTAGGAGCATGTGCCCTGTGTACATCTCCAGGTGATCGTTGGGATCCCCTCGGCCGTCATACGGTGGGATCGACGATGACCTGTATTTATCGGGGAGAGGTGGCACCATAATTTCCGCGGTAAATGGGTGGTCGTGCGTCCGGATAGGAGTGATGTCGACGTTCACCACCTCGGCCACTTATCCTATATTCTTCTTTTGGCCGGCGACATCGCCCGTGAGTTTTTGCTCCAGGCTGGTCATGCGCTCTATAATGGCTCGTGCCTCCTCCGTTGAGATTGCTGAGCCGGCTCCTCTTGGAGCTTCTGCCCTTTGTGCGTTTAGTCTGCCCCTTGCCTCTCCGCCCACTTGCACCGACCCCGAATCTCCAGGAAGGTTTCCATCTGGGTTCTAAGGTGGCGCTTCGGGGTTTTCCAGGCCTCTGGCTACTCAGTTTTCATGAGCCCGGCTCTGGCGTCTCTTTGACGACTGCCAGAGGATTGGGAAGGTCAAGGCCTCGGATCACCTCTAAGATTTTCACTATCCCCGATTCCTTCTAGGGCATCTTGACGGTCACCGAGATTCTAGTTTCCAGCCACGGTAGCTCCCAGTGGTCTCGGGACGTCTTCTAAAGGCAACATCAAGTTTCTTCCATCCAATCGCTCAACGACAGTCATCAACCCCCGCACCAGGTCAGTCAGAGTGGTGAGCTGGGCCTTCATCTGCAAGGGATCAGGTCGCAGCACGTTTAGGGGTGGAACTTCATTCCTAACCGAAGGTTGGTTTTCTTCAATCCCGTCATTCGTCGGATGTTTGGTGGTTTCCTCCATTCGGCTGCCTTGATTGATGGCAACATCTCTTTTTCTTGGAGGCATGGTTGCTGACTAGTTCTTTGTTGTCGGGGGTCAAACGTATGAACTAGAGATTCTAAGTTCGGTCCCCAGCGGAGTCGCCAATCGTTGACGGTGACATTTCGTCAACAGGATCATGCCGGGTCACCTCTTGGTATCCCGTAAGGTACCTAATACTGGTTATATACTGAAAATAATGCTTGCAAAGTGTTTGAATAAGCTTTGTGGCGAAAGTAATATGAGTGTAATGCTTGAATGAAATGGCACACACGAAATTTATAGTGGTTCACTCTGTTAATCAAGAGCTACATCCACTGTGTTTTTGCATATATCTTTTCCATTCTCTAATTACATATAGAGTGAGGAAGAGAGATGGAGAATCCAAGAGAGAGAGATATATCCCTTTCATTTGGGGCCTTACCTCGTTTATAGCCCAGAGATTACTTCATGGGTGGTTTTTCTTGGTAGGCCCATCCACTTGAGTGGCGTACTAGCCTATGAACCCAGACCCATAGCCTGTCACCACATTTTTCACTGTTCACTCATCCAATTTGTCCCCTATTGCGGCTATGCACATCCCCCTTTAATCATCCACTGTCCATTGAATGGTGGTTTATGGGCTTGTAATTAATGCATGCATTACTGACATTCTTCAAACCCAGACGTAACTCCTTTGTCCACTCAGGGGCCTTTCTGGAGATGTGGACCCATGTTTATACGGTCGGCTTCCTATGAGGCCTTTCCTCCTTGGAAGGGTCGGCCGTCTGGAGGCCTTTCCTCCTTAGAGACATCGACCATTCGGATGCCCCTTGAGGCTCTTGGCAGGTTTAAGAACCTTTTTCATGGAGGTCTCTCCTCTTTGGAGGGGTCGGCCTCATG